ACCAAGTCCCCTCTGCATACTTAGAAATTGCCTGGGTGAGCCTCTTCAGTCTCAGCACAATTTGAAATCCAGCCCCAATGCCCATGTTCATGAATTGAACATCACTCTATACTGTGTGGCCACCTTGACCGGGAGGCTTAACACAGGTGACAGTCTGCTCTTGGGATTCATGAAAGAAAAAAATGTTTTAATCCTGCCTAACAAAAAGAATGTCTTAACCCCACCCAACAACAGTTTAAGACGTCAAAGGCACTGATCAGAGACTGTATCAACATCAACATTAGAGAGGTTGTCTCAAAAAAATATGGAGAGAAAAAAAATATATTCAGAGAATGGAGGTAAATATGCAGATAATTTCCAGCCAGCATGCCTGGGGACTCTGGGTTTACTAAGAATGTATTTCAAAATAACCAGCCAATTTGGTTGAACAAATGACTTTGAAATATTAAGCTAGTTGTTTGAATGACTAAACCAGTCCATGAGAACAATTTATCTTTGGCCCTCGGGTATAGACCTACTTATTTTTCAGAAACTTTTATTCTGTCTCATCCAAATTACTCTCCCATTGCTTCCACCCATTTTTAAAATACTTTTGCTCATAGAGAATGGCTACTTGGCTTCTCTTTGTCCCCTTGTTCAATTTCTTTTTTTTTTTTTTTAATTTTTTTTTATTTATTTATGATAGTCACAGAGGGAGAGAGAGAGAGGCAGAGACACAGGCAGAGGGAGAAGCAGGCTCCATGCACCGGGAGCCCGATGTGGGATTCGATCCTGGGTCTCCAGGATCGCGCCCTGGGCCAAAGGCAGGCGCCAAACCACTGCGCCACCCAGGGATCCCCCCTTGTTCAATTTCTTAGTTTTCTCCTATAGGTTCTAGTTAGTTTTTACACTTTTTTTTTTTTTTTTAGTAGAATTGACACACAGTGTTACATTAGTTTTAGGTATACAACCTAGTGATTTGACCGTCTACCGTCTGTCCTGTTATATCACTATTACGGGATCATTGACTGTGTTCCTTATGCTCTGCCTTTTTTTTTTTTAATGCTCTACCTTTTATTGAACAAATGAACAGTATCCAGTTATGGAATTATTTTCCATAACTGGAGGGAGACTGGAGGCCTCTGCTTCCCTCTCCCCTTCACCCATTTCACCCAGCCCTGCTCTCCTCTGGCAACCATCAGTTTATTCTCTGTATTTTACAGTTCTGATTCTGTTTTTTATTTGTTTATTGATTGATTGATTAGTGGAACCTTATAGTATTTGTCTTTCTTACCTAGCATAATACCCTCTAGGTCGATCCATGTCATGTCAAATGTCACCATCTCATTCTTTTTTATGGCTATGCAATATTCTACTTTGTACACATACCACATTTCCTTATCTATTCATCAGTTGATGGAACCACCCAGGCACCCTCTATTTTTAATTTTTTGAAGAACTTTCATACTGTTTTTCCACAGTGGCTATACCAATTTGCATTCCCACCAATAGTGCATGAGGGCTCCTTTTTCCCCATGTCCTCTCCACTTGTTGTTTCTTGCACTCTTGATTTTATCATTCCAACAGCCATGAGGTGATACCTAATTATGGTTTTGATTTGCACTTCCCTGATGATGAGTGATGTTGAGCATCCTCTCATGTATCTTTTTTTTAAATTTTTTTTTAATTTATTTATGATAGTCATACAGAGAGAGAGAGAGAGAGGCAGAGACATAGGCAGAGGGAGAAGCAGGCTCCATGCACCGGGAGCCCGACGTGGGATTCGATCCCGGGTCTCCAGGATCGCGCTCTGGGCCAAAGGCAGGCGCCAAACTGCTGCGCCACCCAGAGATCCCTCCTCTCATGTATCTGTTGGACATCTGTATGTCTTTGGAAATGTCTCTTCAGCTCCCCTGCCCATTTTATTTTATTTATTATTGAAGATTTTATTTTTAAAGGGGTGCCTGGATGGCTCAGTTGGTTAAACATCTGCTTTCAGCTCAGGTCATGATCTTAGGTTCCTGGGATCTGGCCCCGCATCAGGCTCCCTGCTCGGCAGGGAGCTTGCTTCTCCTTCTCTTTTTGCCTGCTGCTCCCCCTGCTTATGCTCTCTCTCTCTCTCTGTCAAATAAAATAAATAAAATCTTTAAAGAAATATTTTTATTTTTAAGTAATATCTATACCCAAGATGGTGCTTGAACTTATAACCCCGAGATCAAGAGTTGCATCATTCCACTGACTGAGCCAAGCAGGGGTCCTCTGCCCATTTTTTTTTTTTTGGATATGACTTTTCTCTGCCCATTTTTTAATCAGATTGTTTGTTTATTTTGGATTGGTTGTTTTTTTTTTAAGATTTTATTTATTTATTCATGAGCAACACATTGAGAGAGAGAGAGAGAGAGAGAGAGAGAGAAGCAGAGACACAGGCAGAGGGAGAAGCAGGCTCCCTGCAATGAGCCCGATGTGGGACCTGATCCCAGATCCTGAATTCCGGGATCACGCCCCAAGCTGAAGGCAGACACAACCGCTGAACCACTCAGGCGTCCTGGTTAGGTTTTTTTTTTTTTAATGTTGCCCTATACGAGTTCTTTATGTATTTTGGATATTAACCCCTTGTCAGATACATCATTTGCAAGTATCTTCTGTTGTTATTCTTTTTTTTTAAATTTTTTTTAATTTTTATTTATTTCTGATAGTCACAGAGAGGGGGGGGGGGCAGAGACATAGGCAGAGGGAGAAGCAGGCTCCATGCACCGGGAGCCCGACGTGGGATTCGATCCTGGGTCTCCAGGATCGCCCCTGGGCCAAAGGCAGGCGCCAAACCGCTGCGCCACCCAGGGGTCCCTTCTGTTTTTACTCTTAATTAAAACAAACAAACCATCAAAAACCCTAAGATACCATTTCTACTGGATTAGTAGATATTTGCCAAACTGGTGAATATAACATATTTGGTAGAAATAAAGTCCATCCATATATGATAGTTTGTGGGTTGTTATATAAAATAGAATATTATCTGTCTGTGGCTATGTTTGGCCTCATTTATCCCAGCTCTTCCTGTGTGCACTTCCTGAGGAGGAAACGTCATGAGTGCATGTTAGGAACATCACTGTTGTGTATGTGTGGACATGTGTGTGAAGGGCAGGTTGGAGAAGCCTGTCTCCATGGTGATGCTACCAAAGCCAACCCCCGCAAGTGGGATAAACAGGAGTCTCCAAGCCAAGTGCTGGGCTCAATTCTAGGAGCAGGCCAAGGCTATAGCTAGGTTGACAGAAAAGGAAAATGGGCCCATAGCACGTGGAATGAGTGTGCCTGAACTTCCTCAGGCACAAATAGGGAGGGAGAGAGGCCTGAAGATGGTCTGGCAGGTTTGAGACCGAGCAAGCTTGTGTTAAACCATTTATTTTTCTCCTGTCTTATTCCTCTCAGGTTTCTTCATAACCCTCTCTGAAATTCAGACCTCGGAAGAGTCCCAGGATGGAGAGAAGAACATGGCGGCCAGGTTCACGAAGCTCCAGGTAGTATCATGTTTTCTATCAGGCAGAGAGAGGTAAAACAACATGATGTTTTTAGAATTTGTAGTGGCTTGCTTGGCACATAAATTGGAAGGCCAAAAGTTTAGAGCCCCACAATTTCCCACAAATTTTGACGTAAAGGGGCAACAACTGTCTTCTATCTAATCAGCAAAGATACTTATTTCTGGATTTCTAAGTCATTTATTTAGCTGTGTATATTTGCTGATAATACTGGGAAGTTCTTTTCTTTTTTTTTCTTTTCTTTTCTTCTCTTTCTTTTTAAGATTTTATTTATTTATTTATTTATTTATTTATTTATTTATTTGTTTGTTTGTTTGTTTATTTATTTATTTAAGAAAGAGAGAAAGAATGTAAGCAGGGCAAGTGGCAAAGGAAGAGGGGAAAGCAGGCTCCCACTGAGTAAGGTGCCAGATGTGGAGCTCAATCCCAGCACCCTGGGATCGTGACCTGAGCAGAAGGCAGATGCTTTAAAGGAGCCACCTGGGTGCCCCCGGGCAGTTCTTTCTACCAGAGTCTTAAAATAATCTAGGTATTTGAAGGTGTGAAATAGAATGACTGCCTCTCTCACTGGTTGGGATGGATGCCAAGGTCATGGCGGCAGTTAGCTGGCCCAAGAGTGTGTCCTACCATGTATACATTTGGGCTAAATGGCAGAGCTCAGCTAAAATCCAGAAGTTCATAGATACCAGAGTTAGAATTCCATTGGGGAAATGCTTACAAAAAACTGGACCAGGAAAAAAAAAAAAAAAAAAACTGGACCAGGATAAAGAGAAGACTAAGGGACAGAAAGGAAGCTTGAGGTGTATTATTATTGCCATATTCTGCAAAATCAGACTTCAGCTTCTGTTCAGCCTCTGTTTGGAACTAAAAACACTCAAGAAAAAAAAATAAGAATAAAAACACCTCAAGTTTCTTCCTGAGAGGCGTGGGCAATTGTGCGACAGCTATATTCTCTGATAGTTTCCAGCTATCAGAGAATATAGCTGGATTCTCTGATCATGATTCCATCCAAGGTTCTGTGACAAGCCAGCATGATAAGGTTATGTGTGTCTGGGTATTTTATGGTTGTGTGTGACTTTGTCACTTGGCTTTGCAACACGGAGAATTCCCTAAGTACCCACAGGAGAAGATAAACCAGTGACTGGCAGCTCAGGCGAAGTGCCCTCCTTTATTCTTTAGCCTTCCCTCCATCTTTCCCCCACAGTTTAGTTCAATAAGTTTTAAGTGCCTGAAATCATTCTTGGTGAATGCATAATGCTGGACCACTCTGAAGATATGCGGTTGAGAGGGGGACCCTCGTCATCAGCTCATCAGCGCGCACTCGTCACCGAGACAGGGTAACCCATGGTTACTGAGCCCAGATCAGTGAAGGGCAGAGAGCCCCCCCCTCCTCACTGCTCTTTAAAAGAGGCCCAGCCAAGGGACCCTACCAGCTCCTAGCTCCCAGCCTGGGCAAAGGTGCGGGAAGCAAAGCCTGAGACCTTCAGCCGAGCGAACCAGCTGCGGAAGCAAGGCCAGCATGTCTCCGTCTTTCAAACTTAAGTGTCACCTCGTTCTGATCTTCCTGATGGCTCTACGAGGGGAGACCCGGTACCTGGAGGTGAGCCACCTTCGCGCCGACCCGCTACATCCTCTGCGTGCGGGGCCGGCCCTGGGGGGGCCGCTCAGCCTCCGCTGGGGTCCGCTCCCCGCTCCCCCCCCCCTCCCGTCCTTGCCCCCTTCTTTCTCCGGCTTTCCCCTAGGCTGGGCTTCCTCCCCGCCTCTCCGTCCCTGTCCCGGCTCCTGGGGGTGCCCTGGTCCGATGGAAGGGGTCGGGAGCTGTGGTGCGCCCCTTTATTCCCTTCGCTGCGGGGCAGGGAGAGCGCCCGGCCCCGGCCCCTTCCCACCCTGAACTTTCCCGACTCCTCGTTCTTCCCCGGCAGCTGCGGGAAGCGGCGGACCGCGACCCCCTCCTGCTCTGGGGCGCCCGCCTGAAGCGGGAGCTGGCGGGGGAGCCCGAGTACCGCCGCGCGCTGCGTGAGTCGGGGCTGCGGGCGCCTCCTCGGCAGGCGGGGGGGGGGGACGGGGGCGGCGGGGGGGGGCGCTGGGGGCCGGGGGGTGTCTTGGACCGCGGGGGGTGGCGGGGGTGGCGCTGGGGGCCGGGGGGTGTCCTGGATCACGGGGGGTCTGGGGGGCGCTGGGGGCCGGGGGGTGTCCTGGATCGCGGGGCGGCGGGGGCGACTCCCATGGGGGACCGCGGGGGTCGGGGCCGCGCCGGGGGGGGGGGTGCCGTCCTGGTGTGGAGGGGGTGCAGGGGGGCCTACTCCCAACGGGGGGCCGCGCGGGGCGGGGGGCTGCCCTGGACCGCGGGGTGCGGGGGGGCGACTCCCTCCGGGGGCCGCGGAGCCGGGCCAGCCGACGCCCTGGTGGCCGCAGCCCCCCGCCGCCCCCCGCAGGGTGCCTGGACATGCTGAGCCTCCCGGGTCAGTTCACCTTCACCGCCGACCGGCCGCGGCTGCACTGCGCCGCCTTCCTCATCGCCGAGCCGGAGGAGCTCATCACGGTCCACTACGACCTGGTCTCCATCGACTGTCGGGGCGGCGACTTCCTGAAGGTGAGCCCCGGGCCCGCCCCAGAGGCCGCGGTCCCGACCCCCTCCCGCGCTCCCGGCCGGCGCCCCAGGATGAGAAACCCACCGCGCGCCGCCCGGGGCTCAGGGCTCAGCGGCGGGGCGCCCGCCTGCCGCCCAGGGCGTGACCCCGGGGCTCGGGCTAGGTCCCGCGGGGGTCCCGCGGGGGCCGCGTCTCCCTCGCCTGTGGCTCTGCCTCTCTCTCTGTGTTAAGTAAAATCTTTGCCAAAAGGAATAAGACAAACCGACGGGCACCGCTGCTGGGGGCCCCCAAGAGGGCTGGCCCTGCGTGGAGGCCGGCGGGTCTCTGGGGGCTGCCCCAGGCCCCGGAGCCGGGGGAGTCAGGTCCCAGGCAGCCCGCAGGCCCCAGGCCCCAGGCCTCAACCTCCCCACGTGTCCACCCCTCGGGGTTCCCGTGAGGCGCCCGCACCCACACAGGCCCCCTGAAGTGATCCTGATTAGGACCCCAAGTGGAATTATTTTGGAACCTGTCAAACTCCTTAGAAGAGGACCAGTCCGCGAAGTAGTAGGTAGCTAGCTGGTAATTTTGGTGACAGGAGCTAGGTTGGACCCTTAAATTGGAGACCTGGGGTGATTTTAAGAGGCCTGTCAATACAAGTCAACAGTGACCTTTTGTCCAACCACAAACTTTAACAAGTGAAGGAAAGAAGTCCTAAGTGGCCTAACAGCCATCGCTGTTTGAGCATTGAAGGTAGTTCTTGATATTTTCATATGAAATAAGAGTCACAAAATGAGGAAAGTGGGTGCAGCTAGCCTTTGGCAAGTAGGTAAAGTTGCTACTCCAGTTTTTTTTTTTCTTTTGCTAGTTTTGAGATATTTTGTTAGTATGTCAATGAGAAGAAGGAAGAGACAGGCTGAAACCCAAATCATGCTTGTGTGGAGTTCTTCTGAAGATGGGATGTGTGCAAAACCTGACCAAGATAAGAATGTAAATTGTCTATAGTTTCATTTACCAATAAATTATCAAATAGAGTATAATAAAGTTTACTTACTTTGGATACTTTAAGGCTTATGAAGAAAAAATCAATAATAACAGGTGCAAACAACCTTCAAGGCCAAAATATAGAGAGATGGAAGTCAAGTAGGCAGGGGAGAACAGGTTGTCAGTTCACTTAAGGCTGCAGGCTCATTGCTAGATAACTTGCTCCCTTTGCGATATACCTGTAACTTCAGGAGTTGATGGGAATGATCATCTATGTCTGTGTTTTCTGTTGGAAGGTGTTTGATGGTTGGATTCTCAAGGGGGAGAAATTCCCCAGTTCCCAGGACCATCCTCTCCCCACCACTGAGCGGTACATAGATTTCTGTGACAGTGGGCTTAGCCGAAGGAGCATCAGATCTTCCCAGAACGTGGCCATGATCTTCTTCCGGGTCCATGAACCAGGAAACGGATTCACATTCACCATAAAGACAGATCCCAACCTCTTTCGTAAGTGGGCTCCCTCTCTTCTCAGTGGGAAGGCAGGACATGGAGGGCGGGTCAGATCTGCTTTGCAAAGGTAGTGTGATTGCACCAGACTAAAATTGGAAGGGAAGAATATTTGAATGGAAATTCTTTTGTCATTAGAAATGACCTAAAGGATATTTCCTATTCATTACTCTGAAAATCAATTCACAGTTTTTAATTTATTTCCCAGGCTAGGTAGGATATTAATTTTTGGTGGGTAGAATTTTGTTTCGTTTTTTTTCTTTAGTCTTTTTCTAATCTTCTGAGGCACTACAATGGATTCAGTAGCAAACTTTAATCCCTCTGAGTCATTCCATTGATCTGGGGTTAGCTTGAGGAATCAGATCTGAAGTTGCTTTCTTAGAGATATTTAGGCAAAGTTCTATCTGGGATTGGTAGACGGATTTCATGTCCTAAGCAGAGGGTGGGACTGAAGGACCTCAGCATTGCTTCCTAAGTCTGAGCCCATCACTCTAATATATTTCATTTCTAATGGGTACACACACAGATGCTGCAAATGTGAACAGCCCAGGCCTGAAACATGTTACTCTAATCAAAATGAGTTCATTCATTTGCTTACTATTTTTCTTACTAAAAGTGTTTTTTTTTTTTAAATGAGGAAAAGAAAAAAAAGTCACTCATTTTTGGCTGCATACAATAGTATTAATATTAACACTTCAAATGGTGGAAGAATGGGGCCTAATCTGCCAAATAATAATTTATTGACTTGCCCTGCAATTTTTATTTTTTAAAAAAGAAGCCTCCCCGAAAGTCTATTTTTGAGGACTGGAATAGAATAATCCTACAAAGCAACATGAAATGTTTCTCCTATATTTCATGTGGTTAGAGATCAAAAATTTTCTAGAATCACCAAGGGATTTCAGTTCTTTTTGAAATTAAGTGTAATGTAAACAGACAAAGGAGGAAGAGTTCTGACCTATTCTGACCAATCAGAAATCTTTGGCCCATGAGCAACAAAACTCTGATACTTCTAGTCTTGTAGTTAGGAGAATAAATTTATTATAAGTCTAGATTTGAGATACAAAACAAATCAGAAAGTCATGATAAAGTTAAATATTAATATTTTCTTTTTAAAATATTTTACCTTTTAGTCAATTTACTACTTAACACCCAGCATATATTTATTCAGACATAAGTCTGCTTTCTTTTTTTCTCAGCCTGTTTTGTAACTGTTTTTTAATTTATTAACTTCATTATTTTAAAAATATCATTATAGTTACAAGTTCAGTGAAGGAAGGTTTAGAGCAGGCAGGGTTTGAGTTCTGGCCTCACCTTTGAGCTTTTATTCTTCTAGATATGCAGCTCAAACTTGGACCCTAGTTAATGAAGTGTTTCTAGAACTTCTTCTCCTTGCTAATGTTGTTTGATTATTAATTTATGTCTTATATTTGTTGTAAACAAGGTAACTCCTTGAGATTGAGATTAGATGCCCCTTACTCCCCAGGAACTTCTACAATGACCATACATCATTGGTGATTTTTATGCTCAGCCCCCACTCTTTCCCAATTCCAAATTGCCCTTGTGGTACATATTTTCGGACAGGCTACAAGGCCCTAGACCATAAACAGGAGCCTCAAATAAGGATAGGATCAAGTTCTATAAAAACACAGCACACCAAATAGTGAAAATGTGATTTTGTATTTCCACAAAGCCTGCAACGTGATTTCCCAGACCCCAAATGGAAGGTTTACCCTGGTAGTCCCACATCTGCATCGAAACTGCAGCTTCTCCATAATTTATCCTGCGGTGATCAAAATATCTGATCTCACCCTGGGCCACCTAAGTGGTCTGCAGTTAAAGGTAAGTTGCTTTCTTAATTTCCAATCACTTACTAAGACCATGGCTTCATCAGAGAAGGAGGAATTGCACGGGGCAAACATGGCCATTAGCAAATTGTGGGAGCATGTGCTTCCATCGACTGTTGGTTGCAGGTGTGCTTGCCCTCGCTGCTTTGATGAAAGCCCCTTCTATTTCCCTTATGCTGCATGTTGCCTACTCAGGTGCCCCTTCTGATTACTTGACTCCTTCTCTTGTGATGTAAGAAATGTTTTCAGTTGATAAACTTGTGGCATATAATTACAATTGAACTCTCTTGTACTTGCCTCTTTGACAAAAATTCTCTCCTCGCAGAACCTAGTGTGAGTCATCTACACAGCTGTTTTCTGATTATTGGAATGTTTGATGACATGAAGGAAGTATCTCAGTGACAGAACTGTGTGATGAAGGAATGCTAAGTGTAGCATAAAATATAAAATTGGATTTTTATATCACAAAATACAGTAAAATCTTGAAGTTCTTTTTACTTTATATTTAATTCAATATTTTGCATGAAAATATTACTTGAGGATCTCCATCAATCTGTATTTCTGTGAACTTCCGTATGGACTTTACAATTAATGCTGAGCTTGACCACATTTTTTTTTTTAACACTGCCAGTTTCCTTCCTCTGAGTCATTCTCATTTCTTTTCACTTTCTCATCTTCCCAGGTTAAGATAGCTCATGTATTTGCTGACATCAAAGACAGTTATTGTTCCTAATCAGACAGATTTCAGTGAAAACCAAATAAATAGGACCAGCACTGAAAAAAAGGTGTATATCTAATTTCCTTTAAGCACTAAATTCATAGGCCAGTGCAATGGGCTTCTGGGTTCCAGAAATAAAAAGAAAGTTAGAGCGGGGGTGATGCTGGACAGCATCAGGAAGATGGGCAGAGCTAGGGCGTGGAGAGCCCAGTAGGGCATATGAAGGAGTTTGAGTTTATAAGTGCAGTGGGAAACCACTGAAGGGGTGCAGGCAGGAACATGACACAACCCATTTGATTATGTTCAGGTCCAGTGAGAGTGACTGGAAATTACTGACCTCATGACCAAATTAACTAACAAGGTCCAAAGGGGGAGGGAGAGGATTACTTAAAGGCCATGCTGGCTTTGTGTGGTGTATGGGCCATGGGGTCCAGAGTGGTATGGCGAGGGCCATTGTCACAATCTAGGCAAGAGATGATAGTGGCTTTGTCCAGGGAGCCAGACCCTCAGTGGAAAAATCCAGGGGATTTCTTCTGAGGAGCTGTACACAATAGGGTTGTGAAGTACTTCTCATCCCTAAGAATACCTGAGAGGTTGGGAAGAGGAGAAAAGTCATTGAGTGTCAAGGAACAGGTGTGTCCAACTTGTTTGTTTGTTTCTGTTTGGTTCCCCCTTATTTTAGCTCCTAGTTCTTCCCAATTTCCTTCCCATTTCTCTCTCTGGGACCTGCCTTTTCCCCTTCACCACCTCCTACTGAAATTTAGACCCTGAAGAACCAGGTGGAAAGTCTAGTCTTAAGAGATGTTCCCCCCAGACATCCTCTACTGAAGGGAAAGACAATTAAGGTTTTTTCCCTTCACGTCTTATGCGACTCTTCATACAAGAACATGAGCCTGTACAGAGGGAGACTAATGAAGCCTCTCTTTCATTACCGGATGAAATGATATATAGAGCATCTAAGCATAGGACCCAGCAGATAGTGGGCACTTAAAAAATGTCCCCATCTGCTTCCTTGTATTAACCAAACACTTGGTGTTATTTTCTAATTTGTTGTTTAGTTCTAGTTGCATTTCAGTGCCTTCTAGATGTTTGAATGTGTGTGTGTTTATTTATGTGTGTGTTTAACATTGTCTATTTTAGATGTTGTTCTCTATGTGGCAGGGTCTACCCGGTTCACTTCTGAGCACTTTGGCACTCTGGGCTAGGTCTCTCCAGAGTATGCCTCAGTGAGGATGACTGGCAAAGCTGGCTGTGTGATCATGGGGGACAGTGCAAGATGAAAATGTGTGGGTCCTTATTTTAGAGTTAATGAAAATTGCAAGATGGTGACAGCAGAGCCTTAAACCAAGCACAAGGCCCTCCTAAGTGTGGGCCCTGTGGGCAAAGGTGGCAAGCTGACGAGGCTAGCAGTGCAGATCACAGGAGATAGGTGGCCCAAAGTGCAACATTTGGAACTGAGAGTGGCTGGTTTACTTCTGTGGGAAAGTAAAGTGCAGGAATTGCTGTGGACGAGGCAGCGTGGAAAAGATGAAGGGCAGTGGAAATAGTTATAGTGGATTACTTCTGCATTACATTCTGGCTTCAAGCAGCTTGAAATAAATTAGTTTTAGTTGAGAGAAGAAAGACAATGGTAACTTTACCTACCTTGAGTCCCAAAGGAGGGTTCTCTTCTTTCTTTAACATTCTTAGAACTAATCTAAATGCCTATTAGTAGAAATAAGGATTGCCCCAATAGCAGGTAACGTGCTTTATAAAGAAGAAGAGGTGAGTTGAAGGACAAACTGATATAAAAGCCCTATTTATAAAAACTGACTGCATGCATTAAGAAATTCGAATAATTCAGTACATATGTCCAGATGATTTAAAAAGCACAGCATTTTTAGATTCAATTTTCATTCGTTTTACGTGGCATTCACAGATTCCCATTTCATCATTCCAGTTCTTGAGATTATAATTTTTTTTTAATGCACATTTAAAGAAAATGATTACTCAACTGATTTAGAAGAGCAGTTCTTAGGATCTTTTTTTTTTTCTTTCTTATAACTGTCTCTTAATTTCCGGAGTCCTGGTTGTTAAGTTAAATGGCACTGCCAGGATGTCTAGGGCTCATTGAGTGAATTCACCAACTTGAGATTGGTCAAATGGTTTGACTTCTGTAGTTGGTTGAAAGCTATCTTTCTCTGCTTTATTCTCTTAGAACCCCTCAGCAGGTTGTGGGGGAATAGGAGACTTTGTAGAGCTGCTGGGAGGAACTGGACTGGACCCTTCCAAGATGATGCCTTTGGCTGACCTCTGCTATTCATTTCATGGCCCCGGTGAGATGTTTCTTTGATAATTATTTATGAGCCTATCAAGATTCCTTAAATAAAACTTGATACTTCCTTAAAAGAAACACCCTAGATTTTTTTCTTATACATGGGCAGGCAAGTTCAACCCAAAAAACTTCCATTTTGCACATTGAGCCAATGTAAGGATTCTTACACTTGAGCAAATGTATAATATCGAGAATCCATTATGAAAATATCTGACACTGGGAGAGAAGCCTCTGAAGAAAGAGGGTATATGTTTAAGGTTAGCCCTAATAAAACCATGAGCACGATAGAGCTTTTTTGTTCTTCGCTCTTTCCACCTTCTTGAAGGTCCCTACTTTCATCCTCTAGAGACTAAGAAGTTTACTCACTGAAAATAGATGGATCAAATAGATGTACCATCAACCACTAATAGTATAATAATGAAGTAATATCTTTTTTAAATAATGGAGTAATATGTAAATAACTTTTCCATATATATGCATATGTATTATTCATAATACATAAATTAGAAAGTGGTATGCTTTATCAGAAATTCTCAGAAGTGCCGAATATCCCCAACTTCTAGGGGCAAAACAAGCCTCTGAAAGAGCAGTGCAAAACCAGAAATACATTCTGAAATCTGAAAGTGGTCACTGGTAATGAAAGACCAGTTTAGTGTATAGCATGCCAAACAGAACCAGGTATTCTTTTTTTTTTTTTTTTAAGATTTTATTTATTTATTTGAGACAGAGAGAGCACAAGGGGGCTGTGGCAGAGGAAGAGGGAAAAGCAGGCTCCCCGCTGAGCAGGGAGCCTGATGTGGGACTCCCTCCCAGGACCCCAGGGTCATGACCTGAACTGAAGGCAGATGCTGCTGCTTAAGTGACTGAACCACCAAAGCGCCCCAGAACCAGATGTTCTTTGTTAGGGATCAATGAAGATTTTCCATTGGTTGATGCTTAGGTGGGGTGAGGGTGGCTGGGAATTGCTGGTTTAAGCTGCCAGTACATGTGGCTTTTCTCACCTCTTGCTGTGTCCTCTGAGGCACTGGATCCTTCCATGCAGGGGGGCACCTGCGAGGAGATGCATTTGCTCCGGATAAGAAGAGTAGATTAAGGCTAAAGAACACTCGCTCCTTAAAATGTAGGTAATTGAAGTCAGAGTGATTTTGGTGCAGTTAAGTCAAATAATAAGTAAGTAAGGTACCATTAACAAAGGAAAGGGAGCATGTTATATATATCAAAGTGTAGAGTAAGATCATGAAAAGAATAAGCTTTCAAATCATTTAAAGAAAATTAAATTTGGACCTCCTCATAGAAGCTTAACCTAGACTCCCAGGTGCTTATATAAAAATAATTAAAGGGTTTACATTTATTACGTCTCTAAATTGGCTTTTACCTCAATAAATACCTGGCTGTTTTACTTCATTTGAACCCAGGCACAGGTTGTGAAGTACCTGTTATGCAGTGATAATGCTAGAGTGTGTCAGGATGTGGTCCTTACCGAGACAAAGTAGTGGTGCTGATGGGGGAGATAGACAAAATTAAACAGCAGTAAAAATTATTGTATAGAAGATAAGTCTTGCCTCAGCAGCCAGCTCAACACTGGAAAAATAAAAGAAATTTTTGATAAAAGTGCTATGAGTTTCAATGTATAGGTGTTCAGTCACATCTGCACTTGAAGATATATATAAACATTGCCAGATGCTCACACAAATAATTGATAAGATTGAAAAGAAACAATGAATAAGATTGGGCTTAGGAGAAATCAGGATATCAAAAGCCATTCCATATAAGAAGCCCAGAAAAAGGGATCCCTGGGTGGCACTGTGGTTTAGCGCCTGCCTTTGGCCCAGGGCGCGATCCTGGAGACCCGGGATTGAATCCCATTTCGGGCTCCCGGTGCATGGAGCCTGCTTCTCCCTCTGCCTGTGTCTCTGCCTCTCTCTCTCTCTCTCTCTCTGTGACTATCATAAAAAAAAAAAAAAAAAAAAAAAAAAGCCCAGAAAAAACGAGAGTGAAAAGGTACGGGTGGACAATACAACAAAGCAAGTATATTCATGTATCTAAACTATGCAAATGATTTCTTGCTTATATATAAACAGTTACTATCTAGGCTTGGAAAATAAGAAACAGGTGATGATTTTTTTTTTTTTTAGTTGACATAAAATCCAGCAGTCTACTCCATCCTCCAGCCCTGTCCACTAAACACCCTCTGGGTCCTTAGTAGGACAACCAAAAACGGCCTCTGCCCCTTGGAACCTGCCCCTAGGGGGCGGTGCCGCCCCTGCTGAGACACGAGCAAGGCGAGCGCGGTAGAGCTTTGGCCTCCACTGCCTTGGCCATGAAAGCCTTGCAGGGAGAACATGAAAAGTGCAGAGACATCTTACTGCCTCTGTTAAATAACAAAATCCAACTGAATAGATTTGTAAAATCTCATTGGCTTTATTAAAAAATTCATGAATCGGGCAGCCTTCCATCTAGCAAGTAGAGGAGTCTCCAAGGCCTTGTACAAAATGGAAGTATTTTTTTTATAGAAGGAGGGTGGGACAAGAAATTCGTCCAAAGAAAAAGATTGTTTCATGGGCCACCTGGGTGGCTCAGTCAGTTAAGCACCTGCTTCCGGCTCAGGTCATGATCTAAGGTCCTGGAATACAGCCCTGCATCTGGCTCCCTGCAGACCAGGGAGCCTGCTTCTCCCCCTGGCCTTCCCCCTGCTCATGCTTGTGCTCTCTCTCCCTCTCCCTCTGAAATAAATACAATTTTTAAAAAATCTAAAAAAGAGATTGTTCCAGACAAGGCCACATTCCCTTAGGTGGAAAAGCAAGGTGCCTTGTCATCCAGATTGCATCATCTTCCTTTTGGGGGATGGAGAGGGCCCCTGTAGCTGACTCGCGGACACAGATAGAAAATTCCTGACTGGTTAAGGCCACCTTTTAGAGGAGGTTGAAATTACAATTAGATTAGATATTAGCCCCAGTTTCGGTACGAAACTGGTCTGAAGAACACCATGTTGGGCCTGTGATTTTCTTTCTTTTTTTCCCCCTGTGATTTGCTTTTTAACTCCACTTTCCAGCCAGTTTTATTTGGCTAACAGTGTTTTTGGTCATGAAGAAAACTGAATTCAATTTCAGCTTTCTACAATTAATTATATATTATAATAAAAATGAAAACAGAACATTTCACCTGATGCAGTGGGGTTGAGTATGTGAGAGAAAGATACATCCCCTTGATTTCTTTATGTATAATGGTCTTATGAATGGAAATGGTTTGTGTGGTTTCCAACCTGCAGTGAAACTTTTATTTTTCCATAAATTATAGCCCAAATGAAAATTGGCTGTGACAACACAGTGGTGCGCCTGGTCTCTAGCGGAAAGCACATAAACCGTGTGACTTTTGAGTACCGCCAGCTGGAACCATATGAACTGGAAAACCCAAGTGGAAATAGTATCCAAGAACTCTGTTTGTCCGGTCTTTGAATAACCAATCCCAGTGATGTACATGCTGCTAGCTAAGTGAGTTTTTAATGGCTATTATATATGATTTTGATGACCAGCTAGTTAAAAGCCTTTCATACCAGTCAGTATTCCCAAGTGTGAGCACACATTCGACACACCTAAGCAGACACACCGTGTGCACAAGCATGCATTATTTTTTGTACCTTATTTCTTTTTCATTTGTAATATATGAATGACCACATGGCAGACAGTAGCCCCCCTTTGGTAGAAAAACAGTTTTCTTTTGTTATTTGGTATGCTACAAACCTGAAATGGTAAGGCAAGGGCACAGCAATGGGCAATAAGAAATTGTATCTCAAAAAAAAATGTATCTAAAGGGAAAATACCATAAAGAAATTAAAATGGTGGTGTTCATATCAGTCCTAGAGCAGAAAACAATTGAATGGCTGTGTATGTGTATACCAAAGTAGTTGCATCTGTTTGTTATTCTATTTGTAATAGGTAACAAATTATAGCTACTATTTATTGATTTGTAACATCTTGTTTCTAACAAAACTTTGTAGCTTGGAAAAAAGTTTCCATCCACAAGTACAAACGTGAATAAATGTATCAGAATGCTGACACCTTGATATTTTGCTTTGTTTTCCTAAGTAGACCCCTCCCTTATTACCATTAGAAAATAATGTTCTCTCATGTGATGCAGAACCAAGTGCTGAGTTAAGTCATTTCAGAGTTTTTACAGCTAGTAGAACTCTGGGCCACTGGAGTAGAATTATTTAGAGCAAGAGGCAGGATTACACTATTTGCACAAACAACACAAATGGTCCTGATGGGGAAGCAGGATGCAGAAATCCTTTTTCCACCATCCCCCAAGAAAACTGAGAATACATGTTTTTGTCCCAATGGGGAGGACTTCTCAACAAGGACCTGACAGCTCTCATAGACATTTGCAGAAATAGGAGGACTTCTTTGGTGCTGAGGGTCATTTACTGTTGAGTAAGGCTTGTTCACCTTTGGCTGGAGACCAAGCATTTGGTCTATACTAGACACGTGGGGGCCAAAAATGAGGTCCTGAGCCAGAAAGGACATACCCCTAAGTGAACACTTTTCTTTCAACTGATGGGTAGAAGCTGCAAACTATACCACAGTTAATGGCCTGATTGTGATTCCTGAAACATAATTAATACAAAGGTCATTTTATAATGAAATGTACTGGAATCCCATACACCGGGCTTGTTAACAAAATTTGAAAACCAGGCAGAAAGAAAAATACTGATAGAGGGTGTAAAAATACCCAGGATTTAGCACGAATTTTGGCTCAATATTTTGGAATGAGTGAATTAATGCCTGAAAGGATGAATGAGTGGACGGATGAATAAATGGTAGGATAAAAGCTGGGATGAATGAATAAATGCCTGAATGGATAGAATTCCTACTTACTTATAGAAGACACTGGCTATCTCGTTTCATAGGAAATAAATTCTATGAAGTTGAACCCTTTTCTTTTTCACAGTCCTTTTGCAATCTAAGAATGAATGCATTCACATCACTGTCAGCAGTCTCTGGCTTGTGCTCCCTGTATGCTGATTACAGAAAAATGATCTGAGGGAAGGAGGGGAGTCTTTGTTGTCTTTAGGTTTTTATTTATTGATTCACGAGACACACAGAGGCAGAGACACAGGCAGAGGGAGAAGCAGGCTCCCTGCAGGGAGCCTGACGTGGGACTCGATCCCAGGACCCTGGGATCACAACCTGAGCCAAAGGCAGACGTTCAATCCCTGAGCCACCCAGGTGCCCCAAGGAGGGGAGTCTTTTACCATGGGACTTAGGACAACCTGCTTTTATTCCTAAGGGACATTATGCAAGCTACTCAACCTCACTGCGCTAAAATGGGTGGGACCGCGGCCCTTCTAACACTGGCGGTATGCAGGCATTCATCTGTGGCATGTTTTACTTCAAAGCTTATTTGTGTGCCATAGCACATGTTCTTTAAGAGGACAGACACTCCAGTGAGCTGTCCAAGATATTTTTTAGATATCCATGTCTTAGTCCTTTTTTTTTTTTTTTAAGATTTTATTTATTTGAGAGAGAGAGAGCACAAGCATGTGCCCACACATGAGTGATGGGGGGCAAAGAGAGAAGCAGGCTCCCTGCTGAGTAGGGAGTCCAATAGGAGGCTTTTTCCCAGGACCCTGGGATCAGGACCTGAGCTGAAAGGAGGGGTTTAACCAACTGAGCCACGCAGGTGCTCCCATGTCTTAGCTTTCATTCCAAAGGATGGAGCAGTTTTCTGGAAACAAAATGGTGGATGAGATCTCTGAGGAGAGTGACATGGTATGTCCCCACTGGCACCTTCACTAACTGAGTAAAATGTTATCTGAAATTCTGGCCAAATTTGACTTTCTAAGAGAAGCAGTATGCATAGTGGTTAAGGCCATTGACTCTGGAGCCAGACCTTGGCTACTTACTTGAACAAGTTACATAGGAGACGCGCTGCTCATTGTTTTTCATCTGTCAAACTGGAGTAATAAAGGTAAATCTTTTAAATAAACATTTTTCTCAAGATTAAGTGGTTAAGGGATGCCTTGGTGGCTCAGTGGTTGGGCGTCTGCCTTTGATTCAGGGCATGACCCTGGGGTCTGGGATTGAGTCCTGCAGGGAGCCTGCTTCTCCCTCTGCCTGTGTCTCTGCCTCTCTCTGTGTGTCTCTCATGAATAAATAAATAAAATCTTTTTTAAAAAGGGTTAAGTGGTTAAGTATATATTAAAGCCCAAAAATTATGTCTTGTACATGTCAGTTGTTACTATTATTTATTACTTATAAGCAAATGTAGGCCATCCCATACTCTTAGGCATTTGCTCTGTTTTCTGAAGCGTTTGACTCATTGTCCTTTTTCATCCCAGGACATTTGTGAAGAAGCTGGGGTTAGTTAGACTGGGAAGCAGAGTATAAGGTCATGGGTAACATTTAAGGGTAGGTGATTTCAGGCCTGGACAGGTTCCCATGGGCCTCTCCTTATAGTTGGCCCCTATTTGTAGGCTCTGCACATCCATAGGACCTTTCCTGACCTTGGACAGCAAGAACCTGGATAGCTCTTATCCAACATTTTGGTCATGAGGGAGTCACCCCATAAATAATCTATGCTGACTCTTTACCTCTGTGCACAGCCCTCATCTCCACGATGTAACCTTCTGGCTCTTGGTTACCTCACTCTGGGTCAAGAAGCCTGACTGTACCTTAGCTTCCACTCCTAGCCTCGGTCTTCCTGAATACTAAATAGGTGATTTGTGCTCTGCTGCTAATCACTGAATCCCCCAATTCCTCCTGCCTCCATGCCTGACATTCTGAGCATTTTTGCTCCTAAATCTTATGCCACTCGCCTATCCTATCCTCTGGGCACTTTTCTACCTCCTGCTTCTACTGCCTACTGTTGGTGGAGAATGTTGGTCTGCCTATGGCAATGGACTTTCTCCCAGTCTCTGAGGCAGCATGTTTTCTTGACCTCCAACCTCTTCCTGGTACTGTTGCTTCACTTAAAAGGATAGGGCAGAAGTACTATGTGTTCAACAAAAGTCATTTCTTCTACCCCCTAAATAGACAGCTAGACTACAATTTCCAGCCTCCCTTACAGTTAGGTTTGGTCATATGACTGAATTTTGCTTGAAAGAGTGTGGGTAGAATGATATCCTATCCTCATGTGATCCTCCATGCCTTCTGTCTCTCCTCCCTTACCTACTGGCAAGATATCAAGGGGTTTTTTTGTATTTTTTTAGAGATTTTATTTATTTATTTATGAGAGACACACAGAGGAGAGAGAGAGGCAGAGACACAGGCAGAGGGAGAAGCAGCCTCCATGCAGGGAGCCTGATGCAGGACTCGATCCCGGGGCCCCAGGATCATGCCCTGGGCTGAAGGCTGCAGTGCTAAACCACTGAGCCACCCAGAGATACCCTATTTCACTTTTTAAAAAATATATATATATTTTATTGAAATTCGATTTGCCAACATATAGTATAACACCCAGTGCTCATCCCATCAAGTGCCCCCCTCAGTGCCCATCACCCAGTCACCCCAGATATCAAGGGTTTAACAAAGGAATCCAAGACCATACAAGAAGATGGAGCCATGGGATCCAGATCCTGGATCACTGAATGATCACATGGAAGGCTGCCTATTGACCAGAAATTGGACCTTGTATAAATGAGAAGTGAATTTTTATTATATTAGGTTACTGAGATGATGATGGTGGTGGTAGTGGTGGTGATTGTTACCATAGTTCATACAAGGAGCTTGCCTCATTCCAATTCTCAGTTATTCTCTTATTTTCCTGTCAGGTTTTGTGGCAACTATCCAGACAGGCCTGACCTCATTGTCTTCCAGAGAAAGATACCTCAAATACACGTCTTTGATCTCCCAAACACCAAGGTGTAATGGAACTCATTGTATCCGACCTTTCCATATACCTTAAAGAATCCATATACACTGGTTCTTAGACTAGACCCCTTTGAAAATTTGACAGAAACTATAGATCATTTCCCAGGGGAAAAAAATACCCAATATATATAAAAACACCCCCAAGTTTCTGAAAGCTTATAGGACCCTGAAGCCCATCCAAGTTTTCGGGATGAGAATCCCTGCTTCAAGAGTAAATAATGGATAAAAGTAATTTAAAAGTAATTTTTTTATGAAAGTGATTTTTAAACTAGTCTTCTCAATCTGGGCTGCTCTCTTATCAGTATTAGTTAGACACATTCATTGGTTTATTCAACTGCAAAATAAGTCCATAATAGCAACTTAATGTTTCTGCTTTTGTATTTAATTAATTTTGCCTTTTACCCCTACTTTTCCTGGCCTGTTAGGTAGTTTTTCCTAAGGGAGGAAATACATTTGACACAGGACAAATTTTTGTGACAGACTCTTTCAGATTCTTCTCTCTCAACTTCAGATTTTTTTCTTGCTATTTTAATAGGTAGGCAACATTGCCAGAGTTTGCCTGGAAAGTAGAATCTTTGTGAAAGAAAAATAAAGATCTGATGGACAAGATTTATTGGCAGGCAGTTTGTGTGCTTAACAACACCTGATAGAGAATTGTGGCTAGGAGCTCCCATTATAGGGTAATCATATGAAATTATATCTGAATACACATTTATCTGTTCAGTGTAGTATTTCAGAAGAGAAATTATTTGTATGTTCAAATAAACAGATTGAATGGCTTCAATTCTAATGGGTCATTTGTAATGATTGCCACACACTTATCTCTTTGCATTTAAATTTTTTTTTCTTCGTGTGTTAAGACAAACTATGCAAAGAGAGAAGCAGAGAGGCAAAAGAGAAAATCCAGGTAAGAGAAAGGAGGCTTGATTTGAGGGTTTGAAAACATAATGAAAATCAAGGTCTCCAAATTGGACTCTTGCCTTTGCTCTTGGTAGCAAGTGTATTCAATCCCTCTGTAGCTGAAAAATTGAAAATGAGAAGTGTTTAGTGCTTTTTTTTTTAATTTTTTTTGTGTGTGTGTTTAGTGCTTTAAGGGGAAGTCTTAATGCCAATGCTAGGACATACAGCTGGAGGGGCTAGAGAGAACTGCCATCTTTGTGACGAGATGGGTTA